CCTTCCCTTTTCCTCCCTCCCTCCCTCCCTTCCTCCCTCCCTCCCTCCTCCTCCCTCTGTCTCTCCTCCTGGCGGCGGGAGCTCTCAGAAATCCTCGCGCCTTCTCAAACACTTTTATGCGTCTTCGGGGGATCTTTTCAGAAGGCCGGGGGACTTCCGAGCCTTCTGAGAAAACCTTGTCCTTCTCAGTTCCCCCCTTCGCTCGCCGCCGATCTCCCCCCACCCAAACCTCCTCGCGTTGTGGAGAAATCACGACGGGCGGTCTGTGGTCTTTTTCGGCCTTTGGGGGCCTTCGCCAAGCCTCGGGAGCGTCAAATAACGACTCAGAACGAAAAGCCAGTCCCAGGGAAGGTGTCCAAACCTCTCGGGGTCGGCGATGTGAGAAAATCACGACGCTGGGGTCTGGGCGCGCCCCTGGAGATGGGCCAGCACCCTGAGATCCGACGCAGCGAAAACGTTGAGACACTGTGAGAAAACCACGACCCCAATCCCGTACCGCACTATTCTGCGCCATGTCGCGAGCCGGATCGATCTGCGAGGGTCCCAGGGCCCGAAACTGCGAAACCGCGCGACTTTTTCACGTCTCAGCGCGCGGCAGAGGCAGTTCGCACGCGCGGTAGGGCAAGCCGGGAGACGGCATCGATTATTGTCCAGCAGCAAGAGCGGGAAAGAGGGGGAAGGAGGAAGCGGCCGCGAGGCGAATGGGGGGAGGAGGGGGAGCGCTCACGCGGCGGGATCCGCTACGGAGCGGCCGGGGCGGCCAGCCAGTGCTGCACCCCTGGCAGCGGGCGCGGGGCGGCGTCGCGGACACATCCGAGGGCTGGGGCAAGGGCTGCTATACGCGAAGAAAGAAACCCAGACCCCCGAAGTCGTGATTTTTTCACACCGTCGACCCCGAGGAGGTCTGTACCCCTTCCCGGGGACCGGTTTTTCGTCCTGAATCCCTTTCTGACTTTCCCGAGGCAGGGCGAGGGCCCCTAAACGCCGAAAATGGACAAAAATCTCCCGTCGTGATTTCTCGACATCGCGAGGAGGTCTGAGAACCGGGCGAGCACGCCCGGCGCGAACAAATGGCAGCGCCCGTATCGCGCAAGGGACCCCCGCGGCGGGCGTCGGGGGGGGGGGGGCGGGCACTCCAGGCGGGGCACCCTGGGCGGCAGAGCGGCGGGCCTCCCTCGGCGGTCGGGGATCTATTTGTAGACGGGCGCGGTCCACTGCTCGCAGAGTAACTGCTATAGCACATGGCCTGGCTCTACACGATCTATTACATCGAGGCAAACTTTTTTGTTTGTTTGTTGTTGTTGTTGTTGTTGTTGTTGTTGTTGTTGTTGTTGTTGTTGTTGTTGTTGTTGTTGTTGTGGTTCGGACGTTTGCGACCAAGCACGGTGCGAATAGGGGAACGCGCGCGGTGATATTGACCCAGGTCAGTCCAGACCCGGGCCAGTCAAGGGTTGCAAGATCCTGCGAGATCCCGCAGGATCCTGCGGGATCCTGCGCCCAATTGCCCAGGTCAGTGCGCACCCCTGGCTCCGCAGGGTGCTGCAAGATCTGGCGCTTCGGCTGACCCCTGCTTGTATGGAACCCCGCCTCTCGAGCCCTGAGAGGGTGAGGGCGTGGCGATCCCGGTCGAGCTCTCTCCTCCTCCTCCTCCTCCTCCTCCTCCTCCTCCTCCTCCTCCTCCTCCTCCTCCTCCTCCTCCTCCTCCCTCTCTATCTCTCTGTCTGGAGGGGCCTTTGCCGTTCCAATGCCGGGGCAAAGCTAGAACGGGACAAGTGGAGGATCTCTGAGATCCCGCGGATTTTTGGAGGATGCCTCGGGCGCCGCGGCCCCTCCGCAGCGCTCTAGATCGCTCTGAGAGCGTTCCAGAACGGCCTGGAACGATCTGCCCAGGTCCTGGCCCAGAGGCTTCCTGGACGAGCAGATGGGGTCGAGCCGCATCGGCGCCGTCAGAGTGGAGAACATCGGGATCCACATCGAGCCGCGTCGGCGATGCATCGGCGATGCGGCGCGATCCGCCGACCTCATCCGACCTCATCTGCTCTGACCTCATCTGCGGGGTCTAAATCACTCCGCTCGGCGAGGGCCCGCGACCTCGCGGGTCGGCTGGGTGTGGGGCGGAGGTGGCCACACAACAAGGGCAGCGCTCTACTTCGCATGTCGGCGGCAAGAGAGAGGGGGAAGTGAGAGGGAAGAGGCCTTCTCAGAAGGCGGCGGGGCTTCTCAGAATACCTCGGGCTTCTGAGAGGTTTTCTGTGTCGTCGGGGATAGCTTCGAAAACTTCTCAGAAAGGCGGGCCTTCCGAGCCTTCTGAGAAGGCCCGCCCCTTCTCAGTTCCCCCCAGGCTCGCCGCCGAAACCAGGGCAGCGCTCCACTCCGCATGAGGCGTGGGGGGCAGTCTCACGGACTCGGGGGCGCAACATGACACGAGGGCTCCAAGGTCGGGGGGAGGGTCGAAAATGGGGAGGGGGATTGCAGGCAACTGGCACCTCATTAGAGCTCTGTGCTGGGGTCAACTGCCCTCACTTGCCCGGCCCTGGCGCACGGAACGAGGTCTTGCTGTTCTGTTGTTGCGGTAAGGGTGCCCTCGGGGGGGGGGAGGGGCCCTCGCAGCGGCCAGGGCACGACGAGAACTTCCAAACGGTGCTCCGACGCCCTGGTGCGCATCCTGATTTTGGATTCAATCGCAGACTTGGCAAAGGGCGCTTCATAAGACAAATAACCGCATGCTGGTGAGAATAACCCCCTGGGGCTAATCAAATGCGGGGTCCGGGCGGGAGAATAATGATTTCCCGGAGATATCGATGTTGGGATGGCTGGATCGCGTGGCCCCTGAGGCATCCTCACACTCAGAGCTACGATAGAAACTTTGGAGGGGATAATAGGGTTCGGCCTCCTCGCCTGCTGCCTCAATTGGACCACAGTCGATCCCGTGGATACAAAGATACTGGGGTTAAGTCGGGCCTGTCCCCCTACAGGGGGATTTTGGGCGAAAAATAAAAATACCCCCAAAATCCCCCCCGAGTACAAACAAAATGTCAACGTATCGTCACCATATATATTTTTTTGACTATTTTTGAAGATTCCCCCTGTAGAGGGACACGCCCGACTTAATACTAGGGAGGGAAAAGGGGGGGATGCTTTATTATCCGGGGGTTGCGCTGATATCTGATCTGAAAGCACGGGGAAACGTGAGAGCCTTGCTGCTCCTGGCTTTCAAGTAGCGCGCTCAAGCAGCGGTGGGCATGTCGCTGGCCACCCCAACACTCGTCCTCTGCGCAAGACGAAGAGCAAGGCTTGATTTCAAGCTGGCATGCGGGCCCATCGCGAGCATTCCAGTAACCTGCCCATTGTCGACCGACGTCTTCGCGTGACCCTCCCCCGCCGATGACACCTCTCGGCCCTGGCACTTCGGCCCAGGGCCGCTCCTGTTTGGGAGAGGCATGTGCAAAGCTCATCTGCAGGCTCTGACCGCGCAGGGAGGCACAGCCACCTTCCCATTGATGGCCAGACCGCATTGATTCAGAATGTGTTGGTTGTAGCATGTCGCGAGCGGGGGGGCGCTCGGCGACGCACTGGCGACTGGGCACCAGGCGCCCCTGCGCATGGATGCAGTATGAAGACAGGTTCCAGTGCTTGCGCTCCCTTCGGAGCAAGTTCGCCAGCGCGTCTGTAGGCCACGAACTGGCGCTCCTGTACAACACCAGCTCATGGGCGGTATCATGTCTGATGGAGCTGCTGTCTTATCCAGCCGCTCCGTGCACAAACAGGGAGGTACAAATTGCAGAGTCGCGCTCTTTGGCGGACGAATTCCTGGCGCCTGGAGGCCTACGCAATGGCTTCGTCCGAGGGACGTCTCCAATTCCTCACTGTGCGTTCGAGGGTCCATCGAGGCCAGGGATGCCTGAACACACTCAATGTGTCGAGGAGGAGGGGGAGGATGTCGTAGCTCGTAACATCGCTTTGCCACTCGAAACCGCAACGAGAAACAATCCATATTGTTAAGGGGCGGGGACCTGAGGGATATGTCGCCCTTTGTATCAGACGCGTGCGGATGGGCCGACCACTGCCCGCAGAGCTTTGATGTCAGTGTAGAAATGTGGCGCGCAAGTGTAACAGTTGCAGTGATCACGCGGAATGGGAGAGAGGTCGGGAGGGAGGGAGGGATGGAGGGAAGAGAGAGACATATGCATATTTGTCCCGACTACGATTCCGCTTTCGTGGTCTCGAAACAGTGAGACGGGAGACATCCACGGGACAGCCGAGACATGTACCAGGCATGAGAAGACAAACCAAGACCCGAAGAGTCTGCTGACAGCTTTCTCATGCAAGCGTGTTACGGTACAGAGAACCTGGCACACGAGTGGCCACGGGGCCGCGGGCGACCGACTCGGAAGCTGACGGGAACCCCCCCGAGGACGGGAACACGCGGGGGGGGAGGGCGGCCGCCAGCCAGTAGAGGGCAGCCAGCTGGCCACGGTGACCCCAAGACTGACGCGCACAAGACTGACACGCACCTGCGACGAGCGGGCCGCGAGCAATGAGAGGCCCCAGACCACGAGCTACACCAAACCCACTGTGGACAGCGGGGCCAGGTTCCGCGAGGGGGCCGCGGCCACGGGCCACCGAAGTCGCCGCTTGCTAAGCTTCCCGCTCCTGCGGGAAGACCGCCAGAAGAGGCCGCATGCCATGTGACTCCCGGGCCAGCGTAGCAGAACGCAGCCACGCACCCCCCTGGGAGGTACGGCAAGCCATAGGCGACCAACCACCGAACCCAAATCGACGCGCGCCCCCCGCCGGTAAGGCCACCAGAAAGACAAGGGCCACGAACGTGCCACAGGCCGTGAGCCGCCGAGTGGAACCCTGACGGACGCGCAGTCCCACCAGGGGGGCACGAGCCACGAGACGCCCAGGGGCCACGAGCCTCTGTGTCGAACGTGGGCGCGCCCCCCCAACGAGAGAACCACATGCCACCAGAGGGATGCGGGCCACCGAGGCGAGACCTGGCCGCGCGGGCCCCGCGAGCCACGGGCCACGCCCTCGACGGCGGCGGCGCGCGCCCCGCGAGGGAGCTGCCGGGGCGCGGGAGGCGCACCGTGTCGAAAGCCGACGCAGGCCCCTCCCCAAGAGGGGGCCACAAAAGCGGTCGTGCTTGTGCACGGCGACACGCTTTCCGCTTGAAATGTGAGCCGCGACACTCGAAGAATAAACATGAGAAACGCCATGAACATAGACTTTTTGCGCTCCGCGCGGATTTCTAGGATCCGCGCTGGGTCCCCCCCCCAGCGGCGCCTCTGGCGCGCTCCGCGCGCCAGGGAGGGGGTCCAACGCAGATCCAAGAAATCCGCGCGGAGCGCCAAAGGTTTATGTTCATGGCGTTTTTTATTCTTCTAGACACTCCGTACCACAGCCATTGCTGGTCCCCCGTGTCAGCTCGATGCCAAGACTTCTAAGGATGGCGCAGTCAGACGCGGAAGGGAAGACGGGGCGGACATCAGAGACGGAGCGGGCGAAGTCGGATCCACGCGGACGGACATCGGGTCCACCGCGCTTCCGAGCAGAACCTGCCTTGGACCCGCACGCCCTGGAGTCGCATCCCCGCCGCAGCTCTACCACCAAACGCGCCGTGGCCACACTTCAGGCCGCCCGCTCTGGGTCCAAGAGGAGCGCCTTTCGAACCGGGGATGCGGGCCGCCGAGCTGCAAGGTCCAAGCGCCACCGCCACGAAGGACCGTGCGCGCCACGATGGGGGAGCACGGGCCACCCCAGACCTCCGACATCTGGATTTTTTCTCACAGCGTCGACCCCCAGCGGTCTGGACCTCTTCCTCGGGTCCGGTTTTTTTCGTCCCGAGTCGCTGTTTGACGGTCCAGTGAGGGCCCCCAGAAGCCGAACGCGGCCGAAAACTTCCCGTCCTGATTTTTTCACAGCGCGGGGGGGTCTGGGCCGTGGGGGCCACGGGCCACTGGCAGGCCGCTCGGGCCTCCGCGCGCCGCCGCCTCCGCGAGGGTGGCAGCCCGCGGAGGCCTCTCTGCCGCTCTCGGACGGGGCCCACGGCGTCCACAACGGGGCCGCGGGCTGTTTTTTAGCGCCACCAGGCCGACACGACACGGCTGGTGCGCGGCTGCGGGCCACCGCTCCGAGACTTTCGCGCGCAGAACCGGTCCCGGGGAAGGAGGAGGGGGAGGAGGAGGAGGAGGAGGAGGAGGAGGAGGAGGAGGAGGAGGAGAAGGAGGAGGAGGAGGAGGAGGAGGAGGAGGAGGAGGAGGAAAAGGGGGAGGAGGGGGGCGCGGCGCGACGTGCCAGCCACAAGCAGGCCCGCGGGCGGCCACGTCGAAGCTCCGCGCGCCCCGCCCCCCCCCTCCCTCTCCCACGAACGGGCCACGAGAGGGCCCCGAGAGGAGAGGGGTGGTGCCACGAAGGAGGGGAGGGGAGGGGAGGGGGGGGGAATGGGGGGATGCGAGAAGAGGGGGAAGGAGGGATGGAGGGATGTGGGATTGGGAAGAGAAGACAGGGAGACGCAGGAACAACCTTCTGCTGGCTGTGGGTGCTGGGGTCGAATCGCCACACGCGGCCTTCTGCCTTGCCTTGTTTCCTCTTGTCACCACGGCTACTGCTGCTGCTGCACATGCTCTTTGTGCATGGCCGATTGCCTCTCTCATCCTCCTCACCTGCGTCCTCTTCCTCTTTCGCCTCCTCCTCCTCCTCCTCATCCTCCTCTTCTGCCCTCCTTCTCCACATTCTCCTGCGTCCTCGACGCTTCTTGTGTGCCCCCTTGCTTCTCTCATCCTCCCACCCCCGTCCCAGGCCCCCCACGCCCTCCTTGTGCCCAAGCGAGTGCCGTCCTCGACTCTCCTCGATCTCTGGTCTCCCCGCTGGACTCCCCTCTGGTCTCCCTGTCGTGGACTGCGCCCTGTGGTTTTCCCGTCCGAATCCCTTTGCCTAAACCCCTGCTCTGCTTCTTCGGCCCACCGATCTCTCTCTCGCGTGGCCTCCTCATCCGCCACCGTGCCGTGGCCACCGAGTGGAGTGTCTTCAGGCCCTCAAGACTTCCAAATCCTCAATGCTGGATCTTGCAACTGCCCTTTGGCACGGGCGAGACGCCCCGTTCATGGAATCTCCGGAGGGTCCTGCGTGCCTCTGGCGCTTCCCGCGTGCTCCCGCAGGATTTTCTTCTCGAGGCCACGTGGCCCCAGGACGGGCCAGGAGGGCTCCAAGATGCCCCCAAGATGGCCCAAGAGCCACCCGAGACGGTCCAAGAACGCCCCAAGACGCCCAAGACGGTCCCAAGGCAGTCCAAGCGGCCTCCAGGACTGCCCAAGAGGGCCCCCACAGGGCCCAAGAGGCAAACACCATGGATCTTCCGACGGCATTCGTGTTTTTCCTGCTCCAGACGGCTCCAAGACGGCCCAAGATGTCCTCTAAGATCGTCCAAGACGGCCAAGATGGCCTCCAAGACAGCTAAGATGGCCCCAAAATGCCTCCAAGACGGCCCAAGATGCACCCAAAACGGCCTAAGATAGCCTCAAGATGGCCCAAGACTGCCCAAAAGCCCCCGAAGAGGTCTCTAAGACAGCCCACGAGGCCTCCAAGAGGTCCTCTAGGAAGGCCCGAAGAGGCCCAAATAATTGATGTTCCTTAGGTTTTTGAAGACATTTGGCATTTTCGCCTTGTCGGCCTTCCGACGGCCCAAGAGACCCCCGAGATCGCCCCAAGATCGCCCAAGAAGTCTCCAAGATGGCCCCATGACGGCCCAAGAGGCCCCCAATATGCCCCCAAGAGGGCCCCAAGACGGGCCACGAGGCCTCCAAGACGCTCCAAATGGCCTCCAAGACGGCCAAGATGGCCCCAAGATGCCTCCAAGACGGCCCAAGATGCACCCGAGACGGCCTGAGATGGTCTCTAGATGGCCTAAGACGGCCCAAGAGGCCCCCAAGAGGCCTCCAAAACGTCCCAAGAGGCCTCCAAGAGGTCCTCCAGGAGGGCCCGAAGAGGCCAAACTCATTGATTTTCCTTTGGTTTTTGAAGGATTTTGGCATCCGCTTCTTGTCGGCATTCCTGTGGCTCTAGACGGCCCAAGAGGCCCCCAAGATCGCCCACGACGCCTCCAAAATGGCCCCATGACGGCCCAAGAGGCCCCCAAGACGGCCCCAAGAGGGCCCAAATGGCCTCCAAGACGGCCAACATGGCCTCTAAGACGGCTAAAATGGCCCCACAATTCCTCCCAAACGGCCCAAGATGCACCTAAGACGGCTTAAGATGGCCTCAAGATGGCCTCAAGAGGCCCCCAAGAGGCCCCCAAAAGGCCCCCAAAACGGCCCGAAAGGCGTCCAGGAGGTCTCCCAGGAGGGCCCGAAGAGGCCCAAATCATTCCCCACATCCAAGGTGGGGTTCTTGTTTTCTCTGGACACCCCGCGCAGGAACAAGAACCCACACCCACTCGCTCACTCACTCACACTCACTCACTCACTCAGACACCTACTCACCCATTAGCATCAGCATCGTCACTGTCAATACCGCGTCACCAGCACTCGTCATCATCCGCACTCATCTTCATCACCACTCATCACCATCATCATCATCAGCATCATCATCATCATCATTACCATCAGCACCAACACCATCATCCTCATCGTCACACATCACCATCATAAACAACATCATCGACACTCACTCAATCAGAATTTCGTGGTCACTCACATGAATCCTCTCGGCAAACCTGTGACTGTCGTCACTTTTGGGCTCCTCAGGTTTGAATTTGGAGGAAGTATCAGGCGGGAGCCTCGTCTGTGGGTGAATAGTGAGGACGTCTCAGGCGGGAGCCCCCCCCCTATGGTGCCCGCAGCTCATATGAGTAATCCGAGCGGGTCATTTGGAAACTTGTAGCTGTCGTCAATTGTGGGTTCCTCAGGCTTGAATTTGGAGGACGTATCAGGCGGGAACCTCGTCTGCGGGTGAATAATGAGGAAATCTCAAGCGGGAGCCCCCTCCCTGTGGTGCCCGCAGCTCATACGAGTAATCCGAGCGGCTCGTTCGAAAACCTGTAACTGTCATCAGTTTTGGGCTCCTCAGTCTTGACTTTGGAAAAAGATCAGGCGGGAGCCTCGTCTATGAGTGAATTGTGAATAATCTCAAGCGGGAGCCCCCTCCCTATGGTGCCCGCAGCTCATATGAGTAATCCGGGCGGGTCATTCGAAAACCTGTAAGCGTCGTCACTTTTGGGCTCCTCAGGTTTGAATTTGGAGGAAGTATTCGGCGGGAGCCTTGTCTGTGAGTGAAATGAGAGGAAGTGCCGGTGCGAACAAGCTTGCTGGTGCGAACAAGTCGTGCCGTCGCAAGTGAGCCCCACGAGTCAATTTTTTCTTTTATGTCTCGTGTTGCACGTGAGTGGTAGGGCGGGCTTCCGTTCGATGGCTTGCGTCTGGGCCGCCTCCCTCCATCACTCTTTCCTCTTCTTCCTCTAGTTCCCTCCCTCCTCCTTCTCTAGTTTCCTCCCTCCTACTCCCCCCCTCCTCCTCCTCCTCCTCCTCCTCCTCTTCCTCCTCCTCGTCCTCCTCCTCCTCCTCGTCGTCCTCCTCCTCCTCGTTTTACATATATGTATTGTATCCCTCAGACTCCATTAGACTTGATAGAACCTAGGCTTACGCCCCCAAGCGCGCAATCCTGGTGCGAACAAGTATGCTGGCGCGAGCGGCCTGCCGAGGGGAAGTGAACAACGCCAGTGCGAACAAGTCAGCAGGTGCGAACAAGTCTGCTGGTGCGAACAAGTCGTGCCGTCGCACGTGCGCCCCATGAATCCCATTTTTTCTTCTATGTCTCGCGTTGCACGTAGAGTGGCAGGATGGGCTTCCGTTCGATAGCTTGCGTCTGGGCCCCTTCCCTCCCTCACTCCTTCCTCCTCTTCCCCTCGTTCCCTCCTCCTCTCCCTCCTCCTCCTCCTCCTCTCCTCCTCCTCCTCCCCCTCCTCCTCCTCCTCCTCTAGTTTCCTCCTTCCTACTCCCCCCCCTCCTCCTCCTCCTCCTCCTCCTCTTCCTCCTCCTCCTCCTCCTCCTCCTCCTCCTCTTCCTCCTCC